ATTTTCGTGTCTTGAGGCAGCATTCGCAGCTCCATTTTCTTGTAGTTCTGTTGTAGATTGGTTGGCTTGACTGTGTGCCAGTCGAGGCCATCCATATTATGCCAGGTCAAACCAAGTCACCAACAGAGGTCATACCACATCATCAGCGGGGTCACACCACATCACCAATAAAGGTCGCACCACATCATCAAGTTACACGACATCCCCAACAAAGGTCACACCACATCACCAACAAAGGCCGCACCGCATCACCAACAGAGGTCATACGAGGTCACACCACATCGCCAGCAGAGATCATGTGAAGTCAAGCTGTGGGTTTTTGATCCAAAAGGGCATGGGGCACACATTTGTGATACATTGGTGGGCACAGTTGACACATGTCCTGGCCAGTAATAACTACGGCTATGTGACCCGAGAGCAGGATATCCATTTTAATGTGTTGGCCGCACCTTGGCCAGGTATGACCTTCAACTTACAGGGTTCTTGATCTTAAGCAATATTATGGCTTAATTCTGAAGCGCAAGAAGAGTTTGTTCCATTCAAGTCATTTAAGGGCCCAAACGAGCACTTCTTCGGCTGCAACAACGCTCTGAAACCATTTATTAACTTTGACAGTTTTTAAGGAATTTACACAGCCTGTAAGTTCACCAGTTGGGTAATACATAGCAACTCAATAATTCATCTGTGGGATCATCGGCATTGTTTACCGCTCTGCAGTCTTTTGGTCCGCGATATATATCTGTGTTGGCAAATTTTCTACTTAAACCTCCGGTGGGTAGCGGTTGGCGAAGTATTCTCCACTCAGTGACAGGAAATCCTACAAAAGAATAGTTTTGAAGCGAAAGCGGTGTTAGGTTGCACCCATGCTTTCAAGATTCATTTAGGATCTTTCTTTTGCCCCCCTTCCCCCAAAGGTTTCGGCCTTGGTGAAAAATTCCGGCGTTCGCGGTTCAATGGAGTAGAAAAATGAGTGCGCTGACACCCTCGAGCCCATGGGTGTTTTAAGAAACAAAACATGGACAGCCTTTCTTGGTTGGTCGCACCCCACCCTCTTAACTCGACGTGGATTGGTCCAGACAATATTCCGAAGCTTACTCGCTCAAGTTTGTCTCGCACCCGAAGCTTGTACCACTCAGGATCTGTGTGTCGCCTCTTACGTACGCGCAAATAGGTTACATGCAACGTTTTCGATAACAAATAGGCTCATGCTATTAGATACCTTCTATGACAGATTTAAAAGGCCATGCCACATTGCATCAAATAAAGTGTTTCCTTTTGGGTCAACTCTCCGAGTAGCCACAGCCTTCTTTAAACCCGACCTAAGGAAGGCAATACCAAAAGGTTCAAGGGCATGGAACCCTCCACGACATGTACACTGGAGGTCCATCTTCCGTCTGATTCGCCTCGCTCTCGGCCATGCAACTATCCTGCGTTTACGCTGCAGTCGTTCTGTGACCGCACCGTCCTATCTGCACCGTCCCCGTGGGGATGTCTGTGACCCTCCTGACGGCCCCCGCGCAGTCTCCGGCGTTGGCCCGCTGTCGGCGCTGTGCCGGCCCTGTGACCCTCCTGACGGCCCCCACGCAGTCTCCGGCGTCGGTCCTCTGTGGGCGCTGTGTCGGCTCTGTGACCCTCCTGACGGCCCCGCGCAGTCTCCGGCGTCGGCCCTCTGTCGGCGCTGTGCCGGCCCTGTGACCCTCCTGACGACCCCCGCGCAGTCTCCGGCGTCGGCCTTCTGTGGGCGCTGTGTCAGCTCTGTGACCCTCCTGACGGCCCCCCGCAGTCTCCGGCGTTGGCCCTCTGT